ATTGAAAAAATAAAGGGAGATTACTATTCATATAATTCTGTGTATTATACAACAAATATGTATATTCATACCTATAGTGGAACAATTTTTCCACTTAGAGATCACAACGAATGAGGTAAAAGCAAGAGTAGTCTTAACTCCTAATCCAAAATAAAATCCGGAAGACCTAAAGAAAAAATGATACCATCAAAACGAGAGAAAATCCAAAATACAAAATGTGGAAGATGTGGGAACAATGGCCACAATCGTAGATCATGTCAAATTTCAACAAATGTGAAAAAGAAACGAAAGTTAGAAGACATATGCAACTAGTTTATTTAATATTTTTTGTTTTAGAATGTTTTTTAATTCAAATATTCTAAGCAAAATGTCAATTCTGAAGTTTATCATATATGTGACTTTGTTAAAAAAAAGTGACGATGGATTTTAATGGAGATGAATTTCTTTAAAAAATGGTTTGTTGTGTGTATGTTTGATATCATACTTCATTGACATTGGATCCACAGTTAGAAGCATTGTTACTTAATAAATTGATTGGGTTCCAACATCTTTCGCTCAGCCTTTCAGATTTTGTAGACGCTCCATTAATTTTTCATTCGTTTTAATCATTTCTTCAACATCTTTTAGACGGTCCACCATTGGATTTGACTGAATTTTAATTTCAAGATCTATAATACGTTTCAAAATTAGATCATTTGATTGAACAACTTTCAGTTCAACCTCAGATAGCCGTCTCAAAAGTTCTTCATTAGATTGTTGGACTTCCTAAAAAGAACATACAATAATAAGAAGCAAGAAATTGAAATGACAGAAGTAGTAAAAAGAAAAAATGCCCACAAACCTCATCAATCTTCCCTTTGTTTTTGTTTTCTATAGACATTTCGGCTCGATCAACAAATTTTGCTTTTTCTCAATCCAATAATTTTTTCTTTTGAACAATGGGATGCTCAAAATCATCATCATCCCTGGTCAACCCCCAAACCTTCAACAAATAAACCAATTGAATACTCTTCTTCATTCTCTGCTTCAAGAGGCATAATTCGATTTACTTCCAACTGAAAAATATATAATCATATAAATAGCAGAAAAAACTAAAAACATAAAATAAATAATAAAAGGGTACAAAACTTACTTTAATCAAATAAAAAATGATCTAACTTAACCCCACAGATGTCACATGCTAATTACAACTCCAACGTAACATCCGAGAACGCTAGAGTTTA